TGAAGATTTTCTCCCATTCTGTGGGTTTTCTCTTCACTTCCCTGGTTGCCTCCTTTGATGTACAAAAGGTTTTTAGTTTAATGAGGTCCCATTTATTGATTCTTGATCTTGTTTCCTGGGCAGTTGATGTCCAGTTTAGAAAATCCTTTCCTATACCCATATCTTGTAGGTTATTGCCAATGCTTTCTTTTAACAGTTTCAGAGCTTTGGGCTTCACATTGAGGCACAAAGCACAGTTTTAAAGATTCAATTCTTCTGTCTGCTCATTGGTTTCTGTAAGTGTCAGGCAGCAATCAACTCTGGTAATTCTGGTTACAGACAAGTCTCTTACCGGGTGTAGTGGTGCATGCCTTTAATCCTAGCACTTGGGAGGCAGAGGCAGACAGAGCTCTGTGAGATTGAAGCCAGCCTGGTCTACATAGAGAGTTCCAGGCCAGCTGGGGATACCAGGAGACCCTGTCTCAAAAAGACCAAAAATCAAAACAAAACAAAAAACAAAACAGATAGGACTCTTTGGGCATGCCGTGTGGGCAACCAGCAGCATTCTGGAATGTGACCCCCCTTATCCTGGTGCTCTTCCTACAGCCATACTTTCAAACATGGAGAGGAGCAGGTTCTAGATTGTTGCTGCATGGGTACCTGGATTTGTGCCCAGAAATAATGCAAGTAAGTACAATGAATATATCTAGTTTAAATCATGGTTTGATTGCTTTGCTTTTAAAGAGAGTCATCTTCAAAAGACACTTTCCTTCCTACTTTCCTTCCTTCCATTCATTCATTGTGTGTGTGCACATGTGCACATGCGTGTGCAGGCTCATGAATGCCACAGGCAAGTATGTAGAGGTCAGAGGATGACTCTCAAGAGTTGATTCTCTCCTCCCACCCTGTAGGATCCAGGGATCGAACTCAGATGGTCAGGCCCAAGTACAACTGCCTCTACCCACTGAGCCATCTCACCAGTCTTCTTTTCTGAGATTAGGTCTCATGTAGCCCAGGCTGGCCTTGAACTTGACAATGCACCCCACGATGGTCTTACACTTCTGATCCTCATGCCTCTGCCTCCCCGGTGCTGGTGGAATCACAGGTGTGGACCACCATGTCAAGCTTTGCATCATTTACATAAAAGAAAATGATCTGGCTCTTCATAGCTCTCCCTCAGCTTCAAATTCTTTACTCATGCCCCATGAATATTACAGTAATGAGAGTGTCTCACACAGGGTGGCTCCTGAGGACAGACTGACTGAATGAATGAGTATAATAGTAGGAGGTATTCAGCTTAGATATCTCAGCACCCAGAAGCAGATTCAATTTACAATACTGGCTAAATGCGCACTGCTTCTAGAGCAGCTATTTAAAAAAAAAATTTTTAGCATTTTAATTTTATGTGTATGAGTGCATTGCCTGCATGTGTGTAAGTGCACCTGTGTCGTGCAATGCCCTCAGAGGTCAGAAGAAGGTGTCAGACACCCTGGAATTGCAGTTACAGGTGGTTGTTAGCTGCCATGTACGTGCTAGGAACAAAACCTGGGTCTTCTGCCAGAGCAGCCAGTGCTCTTAACTGCTGAGTTCTCTCTCCAGGCCCTAGAATAGCTATTTTACTTGATACAGTACCATCTAAAGAAATGGCTAAAATTAAAGTTTTAAAAAAAGTTTAAGCTGGGTGTGGTGGTGCACGCTTCTAATCCCAGCACTTGGGAGGCAGAGGCAGGTGAATTTGTGAGAGGCCACCCTGGTCTACAGGTTGAGGCCAGCTGGGGCTACAGGGAGACCTTGTCTCAAACACACACACACACACACACACACACACACACACACATACGAAACCACACACTTATATGAATACATATAAAAAATTGGAAATTTGGGACCAGAGAGATGGATCAGCAGTTAAGAGCACTGACTGCTCTTGCAGAGGACCTAGGTGCGATTCCCAACACCCATATGGTGACTATGAACCATTTTTAACTCCAGTTCCAGGGGAATCCAACACCCTCTTCTGACCTCCGCAGCACTGCACAACACAGGTGCACTCACATACATGCAGGCAATACACTCATACACATAAAATAAAAATAATAAATAAAATGTTTTTAAAAATTGGAAATTCAGATCTAGAATTCAAATAACCGATGACAGATACTGATGCTGTGGAAGATTTACAATAAGATTTCTTTCTCCTTTTCTTTAGACAGAGTCTCACTATATAGCCTCAGCTGGTATGGAATTTGCTTTGTAGAACAGGCTGGCCTCAGACTGTCTGCCTGTCTCGGCCCTCCCAAGTGCTAGGATTAAAGGCATGTGCCACCACACCCAGGCACCATCTGATTTCTATAAGTAAGAACTCTTGAATGGTATGACTTAGAAATGCCTTGTCTTCATTCACTCACTACATGACGTGCCAAAATGTCTGTCCTAGTTTCCTGAGGCAGGGATGCTTCAATGAGAATAACACCTGACTAGCAGATCTAAACCCATTGTCCACAGAAACTGATGGGTAACTTAGCTGTGACCAGCACTGGTAAACAGTTCTAGGGGCTAAAAAGAAGGAATATTTAAGCCAAGTGAAACTCAAAAAGATAATATTTTATTTTCAGAGCAGCTGATGCAATATTGAATCAGGTTTTCACAAATAAATATGACAGTGTGTATTTGGTTACATTTGTACTTGATTGAATGCCCATCTATAGGAACTGTAGTAAATTTCTGAGGCTAACTGATCGGAAGCTACATAATAGTTCTCTCTTCTTCTGGAAGAAAGCCAAACATACCGAACAAAAAATGCTCAACATTCAAGACATGAAACAATCTAGAATACCCCAGATGTTTTTCAAATTTAAGGAATGCACCTTTTTAGGACAAGTCTATAAAACATCTTTATTTATTTGTCACATATGATGCTTAAATATAACTTTGCTTTCAAGCTTCCGTTTTGTTTTAAACCCCTGGTAAAATAAGACTTTTGGTTCACCTTAACAAAAACTGACCTAGGAAGAAACATTTTTAGCAAAATGTTATTATAAAATTCACTAGAAAATACTGTCCTCTTTTTTTTTTGCCAAAATGTTACATAAAATCCTTATTAAAAATACACACATTACAAAAGAAAAATTCTGAATATGTTACACAGAGTGCTTTGATATGGACTGAGGGACCGGCATTCCGGGAGAATATTGTTATACATACTAATTTGACGTCAAGTTAGAATAGTGCAAACCTGAATAAATTACATCCTGATATGAAGGCATGCAAGTCATTGGCTGAGAACAGAGTAAAACGAAACCAGAACAGGAAGCTGTCACAGCCACTATTTAAAAATGGTTCCCTTTTTATTACATTAACATTTTTTTTGTCAAAAATACTTTTCTTTACAATAGAACTCCTAGAAAATATTTACAACCTTCCTCTAATAAAATATAACAGCAGTTAAATATATTTGAAAATAAGATGGGTTTTTTCCATAAAATATATCTGTTAACTTTTTATATACAAGCTTTCTCAAAGGGAGTCTAAATTCACTAATGAAAAACCATCCAATAGTAAACAGGAACCATGTTGAAGACTTTAATCATTAGGAAGAAAAGTTCTTTGGGGTGGGGTGGAGGCAGGGAGCTAAAATACAACACACACATGCAGGCAGAATCATTTCAAAAAAAAAGTAAGTGCAATATTTTACTAGGAAGTCAATTCTTTTAAGTTGATAGTCTGGAAATATGAATTCAGGTATCTGAACTGTCTCATTAAAGAGGAGTTCTTTGGTTATTTCAAGTAAAAAGAAAATCCTAATGCTGTACTGCATGAAAAATTAAAATTAAATTGTGCATTATATATTGGCTGTGGCAGCTAAGTTTATTTCTAATATTTCAAACTGTAGCAACTGGCTAGTCCCTAATCAGAAAGAGCATTTGCTTTATTGAGATTTCTGGGCATCTGCTCTTTTTGTAGATAAGCTTCTAGACACAAAGACAGGACCAATTCAGACTCAGCCTACATACTGCTAAGTGGAAGAAGTCATGCCCTTGCAAATGAGTGGCATTTGGAATGGTTCTATAACAAAGCTGATGCAGGATACCCAGGCAGTTCTTGATTCAAAACTTCTGAGATCAAACACAGGCTAGAGCAACCCATTGAAATGGCAGCAAACAAAATATTTTTTTCCTCCGCCTAGAAAAAAATGAGAGAAACCTCCAAGACATTGCTAAAAACAAAGGGAACAAAAAGAAACTTCTTATTTGTCTTCTGTTCATGGCTTTCCTGAGACTCAGAAGCCATAGTCTTCATGGGGCCATTTGGGTCATGGTACCTCTGTCCCCTGAGTGTGTACCAAATGTTTTTGCAGAATCAAATGTAAAGGATGCTCTGGCCCAACCCCCTTCCTCTGATAGGATGCTCTCTAACTTGAAGCTGTGTTTGTACCAGCACACAGCCCAGTGCAACATAGGCACACTGACAGGAAGCTGGGCAACTGGTCTACCTATAGAGAGGTGAGACCTGAAGACCCCTGTCCTGGACGCCACTCACCATTAACACTGAAGAAGCGTGGACAGGAGCTCTCCTGGGTCAGGGACAGTGTTCCAGTCTGTCCTTTGCACTAACAGTGGGAGGGGTCAGCCTGACTGAACACAGAAGCCCAGACCATGACATTTTTGAGGGATTACAGGTTTTTGCCTTCAAGTACAAACAGTGCCCCCTGCTGTCGGGGGCAGAGCAAAGTCAACTTTAGAGAAGTTGAGACGTGCTTTGGTAAGTGACTTGTCAGGAATACATTCAGTGTTTGAATGCGAACATTGTAATTGTAGCAAAAGTGAATCTGAACTCATTTTTTGTTGGCTTTCAATGCAATTTCCTTTGTATCTGTTATCTCTAGGTGTTAGAAAAGCATATTTCTGTATTTCTGTATAGCTAACATCTAGGCAAACCAGTCCAGCGGACATGAGTTACAGCAAATCCCAGTGAGGCTTTACAGTACTTCTGAATGGTGCAACGTCATTTCAGAACTCCACTGACCATGATCTGTGTTGCAAAAAAGAGAGAACAAATAGGCTCTTCTGAGAGAGAGGGGTGGGGAACACTTCCTGGCAGGTCAGAACAGAATACAAATAATTCTTGGTGGAAAAACATAGCCCAAAGTCCTAGCATGAATGGATAACGTGCTACACACACACGCACACACACACACACACACGCACGCACGCACGCATGCACGCACACACACACCACTCACTCACACTCACTCAGCAAGCTTTGAGATTAAAGACAACCAGGGTGGCTGACATCTGAAAGCAAAGGAACATGAAGGTCGGGTTCATCCCCTGCTGGGAATGATTTCAGGAGAACACGGCCCAGATGAAACACCCCTTAAAGACAGTTGTGCCAAGTTTTTATTCCCCCCCAGCCCCCAACAAAAACAATTTTAAAAAGGTAAAAGAGAAAGAAACTGGATTTTTTCCCCCCTAACCTGAAGAAAACGACCACTTTTTAAACAGGTAGCTTAAAAGGGTTCCCAAATAAGCAGTTAGTCCAGGTTTTCCTGATCCGAAGAGGTGAGGACCGTGGGTTGTGTCTCTAAGTGACGAACGGGGCAGGGATCTATAGTTCGGTGTCACCCTGGAGCAAAACCGAATCTTGGTCATCCAAGAGAAGATCGGTGCCCACGACCTCTGCCTCTTCCATGACACCTAACTGTTGGACCACGTCGTCGCCCAGGATGCCCACGTCCTTCCCAGGCTTCATGAGACTCAGCTGGTCCAAGGGCAGCAGCTCTGGCGCCCCCACCGGCCCCGTAGTCCTCTCGATGGTGGCGGCCATTTCGGCTGCAAACGCTGCCTTCTGAGCCTTCTGTCTCTGTTGCTCCTCCTGCTGCCTGTGGGTTTTCATGTGTGCATTTCGACTTTTGATCTTGAAGAAGACCCTGTGAATGAAGATGAAGGCAGCGTGTGAACCCTAGAAGACCTCAGTTCTTGGTGACCCCAGTGTCCTAGAGAGAATGGGGGATGCACACTGGAGGTCTGGTTTGGGGTGGCTTTGACTGAGTCCTGGAACCTCCTCCTTCTGTGACCCACCACCTCTCTAAGCATTACAGGGAGAAGGATGGGAACAGGAAAACAATGTTGATGTCTCTCTTCCATCCTACTTAATGGAAGAGACCTTCTAAAAGGATGTCCTGTCTATCCAGGGTTGGGAGCAGGTACTCCTGTTCCCTCACTAACTGTACTGTCTGCACTGGAGAGTTCCCAAATCCGGCTGACAGTCCCCACCATAAAACCTACCCCTGGCTTTTGTCCAGCTCTGACAGTCTCCACCATAAAACCACCCACCCCTGGCTTTTGGCCCTCTTCTTCCAGTCAAAGCTCTCAGAGGATCTGCCGGCACACACCGGGTGCACCCTTTTATCCCCTTCACTTTCTCCACTGAGGCTTGTTTCCTCCGCTTCAACCTGACTGAGCCCCTCAGGGTCACCAGAAGCCCTGTGCGACCACTTCTAATGGTTTCTCATTTGTCTTAATGCTGTGAGCCCCACCCACCGCTCCTTTTCACTTCAGACCCCTCTTGGCCACTATATTATCATCACATCCTGTTGCTCTCAGAATAGAAGCCAGGAGAGACTGCACTCCCCTTGGGGACATGTCTGCAGACATTTTTGATTATTGTAACTGAGTGGGAAAGTGTCTGTGTAGCACCGAATTTGGAGAGGCTCAGCATCCTATTTTAAAGGTCAGCCCCTCTTCCCTAGGCAAGTTAACACAATGCACATGTCCATAGTGGTGAAATTTGGGGAATGCTGGGATTAAAGGATGTCAGATTTGGGGCAGGAATTCTTTAGATCAGGGGTCTATGAGTGGGTCAGATCCAGCCTATTCACTATAAATAGTTGCTATGGAGCACAACTCTGTCTATCCCTGACTGTTACAGGGGGAAAGCAAGTGGTTGAAACAGAGAACATGGCCGGTTCAGCCTATATTTACTATCTAGGCACTGCGGAAAAGTTATCCTAGTTGTGAGCCTGTGTTTAGGGAAAGAGGATAGCATAGATATTCCACATTCACTCCCAGGCTGATAAAACAAACAGATCAAACCAGCTGGAGTCAAATGGGTTGAGTTCTATCTGGACTTGTTGAAAACTGTTTAATGAACATAATTTCAGAGTTAAAAGAGGCCTTCTGAGAACATTTGCTCAATGTTATTACTATTCTAGAAGACCTCAGGAAATATTCCTATTTTTCATGAAGTCTTAGACTTCTGATAGAAAAAGTTCTCAAGGGACAGTGAGATGGCTCAGCAGGTAAAGTGCAAACCTGCTGACCTGAGTTCCATCCCCTTAGTCCATATATAGGGTCTCATGTAACCCAGGCTTGCCTTGAACTCCTGATCCTCCTGCCCCCACTTCCCAAGTGTTCGGATTATAGGTATGTGCCACTGCACCTGGCTTTTGTTTTTTGGGACAGGCTTTCACATTATAGTCCAGATGTCTTTGAACTTGTGATTCTTCCCCAGCCTCCTGAGTGCTGTACTTACAGACCCCTACCACTGTATCTAGCTTTGGTTAAGTAAATTTGTACATGAAAAAGTTTCATGGCGTGGAATTTTCCACTTGTGGTATCATGTAAATGCTCAAAAATTTCAGATTTTTGGATGAGGGACGCTCAGCCTGTGGGAATTTTTGCTTAGGGAGGCCTTTGTCTCCGTCTGGGGGAGTAGAAGTTGTAGCCTGTGTCAGCCGACAGAGAAGGCCCTTGCCTCTTTTCAGGGGAAGCTGGCACCCTGGTGCCTGCACTTCCACTCAACACAACAGCTGAGCTGAGGCCGGTCCCATCACTACACCAAGTAAATAAGCCCACTGGTCAATCATAGGCTCATGTCTTCCATAGTTCCCTCAATGAGTAGTGGGTGGTGATGCGAAGATGATGTCATATCCAGGCTCTGAAGGATTGTAGGGCACAGAGGAGACTGACACCTCACCCATCTGCACTTCCCAGACAGGAGGAGAGCACCACTAACCACAATGGATGCAGATTCACACAGGAGGAGCATGGTAAGAGCTCAGAGCAGGAGGCCAGCCCAACTGGCGCGCCTTGAAGTCTAAACACAAGGCTCAGTTATTTCATATACAACTTTCATATGTGGCAGAAGGTCTAACTTTCCCTGCCTTACCTTCTGCTTTCTCTTCTTTTTTTAAAGATTTATTTTTATTTTTACTTGTGTGTGTGTGTGTGTGTGTGTGTGTGTGTGTGTGTACCTGTGTGTACACCTACATGGGTTTGTGCACCTAAGTGCAGGTGCCCTCAGAGGCCAGAAGAAGGCATGAGATCCCCTGGAGGCCAAGTTACAGGCAGTTGGCACCGGGAACTGAACTTGGTTCCTGTGCAAGAGTAGTGCAGGCTCTTAACTGCTGAGTTATCCTTCCCACCCTAATTTCTACTTTCTTTATCTTAATAAAGATCTTCTTTATTATTTTTCTTTTTTATGTGTATGAGTGTATTGCCTTCATGTAGGTAAGTGCACCCGTATCATGCCATGCCCTCGGAGGTCAGAAGAGGGTGTTGGATTTCCCTGGAACTGGAGTTATAGACTGTTGTTAGCTGTCATGTGGGTGCTGGGAATCGAACCTGGGTCCTCTGCAAGAGCAGCCAGTGCTCTTAACTGTTGCCAGCCCCACCAATTTCTAGTTTCTAAAAGCACTTGCCTCATAGGGCTATTCTAAATTATTTATTGTGTGTACACATGGGTGTCACAGTATGCATGTGGAAGTCAGAGGACAACTTCAGGAGTCAGTACTCTCTTTCCACCATGTGAGTACCAGGATCGGACTCAGGTCACCAGGCTTGGAGACAAGCACCTTTACCTGCTGAGCCATCTTGCTGCCCCCTCATAGGGTTATTCTAAAGAGTAAATGGATCAATGCATATAAAACAGCCTTGCAAACACTGCCAGTCAGTGCCAGGACCTGCTCAACAGTGGATGCTACTAAGCTTCCTGGTGTGTTGTGTGAGGGCGTGGAAGCGGAGGTCCCAGCTGGCACCGCAGAACTAGGGGTGTCTTCCTGACAGTTTCGGGGACCTCTGATAGGTGTCTCTCCAGCTCTTGTACGTTTGAGACACTGGAGGTTATGGGAAGAGAAACTCAGTTAGGATCCTAATGGACAGCCTGTGTGATGATGTGAGAGCCTTGAGGTTAGGCAGACTCAGAAGGAAACTGGAATTCTCTAGTGGGATTCCATGGGAAGGAGACACACAGCTTACTCTCAGTGAGAGGTAGGACAGCAAAACAAAGCAAGAGGCTAGAGTAGCACTGGGAAGCCAGGCTCTGAGTCTGGACAAAGCCAGGTTCAAACAGCAGTTCTGGCCTGCAACCTGATGTGGGGCAAGTCATTTTACCAGACTCTGAATCTTTAACTGTAAAACGAACATAAGGCTGGTACCTTCACTGGATGGAGTTTCTCCGTGAGGCTTAAATAAATTCACACACACGCAGTATGCATCTGAGTAATTGCTCAGTACGCCTTAGCTGTTACTATTACTAATTACTAACTTCCTCCCTTTGTTTGTGTTTTCAATTATATCTAAAAGGACAGATAGGCTTTATCCCACATATCAACTCTAATTAACTAGTTGTGCCAGCTTGAGATAAAAAAGATATGAAACCTTGCCTTAATGTGATGGCAGAGAATATGGTAATTGATTAGTGATGTCTGCTCTGGACAGAGGCATGAATAGTAGTGGTAGAGGTGCCATGTTTGAGTCATCTCTTTATAGATTTCCTGATTAAATGTTCTAGAGTCATTGTCAAAATACTTAGCAGGGATGCACAGAGAGTATCTGTGGTGAATATGGATTGGAAGAAGGGAGGGATTGAAATCCTGCCCATAATTTCTGGAAAAGAGTAGTTTTGTTACTAGAAGTTTGTTCTCTGCAGATGCCCAAATGCCCATCCCTCCAAGTCCAGAATGGGTATACTCTGAGCTGAGGGAAGGTCTACCTTACAGACCTTATGGATGGTATCAAGGAAGGGGCTCTGAGACTCTGGGTTCTTTCTCTAGGTGAACAAACAGTAGACCGTCTCTGTCCAGCCCTCACAGAACTTCTGATCACTTTGACCTTGGTATGAGTCTCTGGTTCAAGGGCACCTACTTGCCACACTCTTTGCAGGGGAAGATGGTAGTGGGGTCTGTCTCGCCACTGGTGGTGCTGTGGGAGGGTGAACTCTTCACTGAGCAGCACCCACTCTGGGTACCACCTGGCTTCTGTTTCCCAGAGGGGACAGCACCTCGGGTCTTGGTCACCTGGTTGGTGCCACCATGGATGCGGGCGTGGCCGTTCAGTGCCTGTCGGGAGCTGAACACCTGGGGAAGAAATGGAGTGACATGACATCTACAGTCCTGAAAAGGAAATTAGGGTTGTTAGTTACTCAGTGGTAAAACATGTGACACGCAACAGCGGCTAATGACAGGCACAGGGTTCATACAAGCAAACACTGGGCATGTGCCGCAGAAGGTAAAGCTTAGATATCCCAACTACCAATGCTGTGCCAATAACCCTCTCCACTGGTACAACCTGAGCCCAGGACAGTGTGGAAGAGTACCAAGGACAAAGCTGTAGTGTCAGAGTCTGGAGACCCGGTATCTAGCTCTAGCCCTGCCCCAATTACAGAGAGGCTGTTAAGATAATTGTCTTTTGGGGATGGAGAGTGATAGTAAAGTGGTTAAGAGCACTGGCTGCTCTTGCAGAGGACCTAGGTTCACTTCCCAGCACCCACATGGTGGCTAACAACTGTCTGTGATGCCAGTTCCAAGGGGCAGGCACTGTATGCATGTGGTGCACTTATATACATGCCAGCAAAAGACTCATATGCGTTAATTAAAAAATGAATAAAATGTTAGCTCCACCTCCCACCAGGAAGCTCTAGCATCCCAAGGAACAGAATTTGAGACATGGCTCAGGTGCTCTGGCATAGTCTACGGACAGCCTCACTCAGTAGCCCGTGTTTTAATTTCTGTTGTTCTCTGTGATGCTGGGGATGGAACCCAGGGCTGATGCATGCAAGAGGAATGCTCTGAGCTATGCCTATAGCCCAGGCACATGGCAGCAGCTGTGCTTAAGACCCCAGATTTTAATTAGGATTTAAAAAAAGACCAGGGGTTTTGTTTCTTTACTTCGTTTTATTTTTGTTTTTGAGTCAGGGTATCACTGTGCAGCCATGTCTGGCCTGGAACTCGCTATGTAGACCAAGCTATCTGAGGCAATCCTCCTGCCTCTGCCTCCTGACTGCTAGGACTATATGTACCATAGACATATGCCAGGGGTTTTTGTTTGTTTGTCTCATGTAGCCCAGGCTGGCCTCAAACTCACTATGTAGCCAAGGCTGGCCTCAAGTTCCTTATCCTCCTGCTTTTACTCCCTGAGTGCTGGGTCTGCAGGTGTACACCACCATGCCCAGATAGTTTTTCAGATATTGCCACAGAGCAGGGCTTCTTGGCCTCAGCTCTATGGAACGTGGTCAGGACTCAACAGTTCTCTGTTGTGGGGATGGTCCTGTGCATTGCAGGACGTTGAACAGCTGCTGGTCTCCACCCACTAGATACCAGCACCTTCCCAGGCCTGGTAAAAAAGTCTTCAGACATTGCCAGGAGGAACACTCTAAGGAAGAACAAATGATCCCCTGAAACAAGGGGATACAATCCACACCCCCAAACCCCAACAGCCCTTAATTCCATCTTCCTAAGCGTATGGGCTACTGTGTTCAGCTCCTGAGCCCTGTTTAATTGTCTTGCAGAAGAAAAAAAAAATCTGTCACTGATGCAGCAAGCCAGCCTTCAGTGTTAGGCAAGGGAAAACCACCATGCTCCCTCTCTGGATTTTTTTTTTTTTTTAACTGAGGACCGAACCCAGGGCCTTGCGCTTGCTAGGCAAGTGCTCTCCACCACGGAACTAAATCCCCAACCCTGGAATTTTTGTTTTTCAAGTCATCAAGAATGTCTATCTTGCTAAGCATTCTGCTTGGGCAAAGTAAAAGGTGATTGTTTATTATTATTATTATCTTTTTTCTTGGCAAAAAAACCCATGTATATATTATAATATATATTATATTATACCCAGAAACTATGATTTGAGGAAACACTCAATTTCTAAATAAATTTACCAAAAAATATTGTCACTTAAAGTCCCATCTTAATCCCGTCCAAACCGAAATAATCAAGGCAAAATGGTGGCAACGGGGTACAGAAGGCCAGGCTGTTAGTCATCCAACACAGAAATAAGCCAGTTTCTTAAGTTCTCCTCAAAGCTAAATGCTCCCCTCAACATTTTTCATTTTTTCTTAAACATAAATCAAACAAATTTCTGTTTTAGGGTAGAAATATTTTAAAGACTTACTTTATCTAAAGGACAGGCTAAAGAACATTCAATATAATCTGTATTAGACAAGCAAAGTCAAGTGCTTGGGGACAATGAGGCTTCTTGGGAAGGGAAGATCAGCCTCACTGGGGGCCAATAATGTTCTAGATCGTGTCAATACAGGTGTACCTGGCTTTAAGAAATTGAGTTGAGAAAAATCTCACTGGTTCAGACTAGTGGGGGATGGGGAGCATTCTGTGAGCTCAGAGTAAACAGCCCTTAAAACCATCCTTTAAGGTACACAGGACCCTTAGATGCGCTGGCCACACTCTGTCAGGCTTTCCTTCCTCAGCGTGAGGCTGAGAGGTTCCCAAGACTCTCTTTCCACCCGTTCACATCATTAATTTGCCTAGGAAACCTTTCCACTCTCTCAGAACAAAGACAAGTTTCAGCTAACCATTGGAAACAACTTTCTCAAATGTCAGATTAGTGATATCTGAACAGGAATTACTAAGCTTTAGGGAATATGGAAAGCTAAACCTTCTAGACAGGTAAAGCTGCAGACAACGGGGACAGGTCTGTTATAAAAGGAGACCCTAGTGGGCTCCTTTAGAGGATTTAAAAGCATGCTGACAAGGCCCGTCTGACCCGGACCCTTGGGGGACACACAGTCCAAGGGCCAGCAGAGTCCTCACTCAAATGCTTCCTAAGGGCAGGACCATTTTTTTTTTTTTGAGATAGGGTCTCACTACAGGGCCCAGGTTGGCCTCAAAGTTTCCATTCTCCTGCCACAGTTGGAGTGCTGGGATTACAAGTGTGCGCCACCACACCTGGCTTCTTGGACCTTCTTTAAGTTCTCCAGTATTTAGTGTCATGCTTGACATAAAACATACACTGTCAATCTCTGTTGGCCGAGTAAGCAAGCAATGGCCACTTGGTCTGACAGTCAGACTTCATTGCTCTTAGAACTAGGCAGAGCTACCTGGCCCTCACACCCCCAAAGCCTGGAAGATATAGATACTTACAGCTCCACAGTTGGGCATTTCACAGATGAAGGAGCCTGATGGTTGGCTAAGGGCCTGCAGGGTTGGCCCCTCAGTGGGAGCCAGGACAGGGGCTGGTGGGGGCTCCGGGGACTTGGGCACTTCACTCTCCTCCTCTTTTGTGGATTTCCTATCTTCCTCTGGGTCTTCCTCCTCCTCCTCTACCTCTTCTTCTTCTTCACTTGTCTAGTGTTAATAAAAACAAGAAGTTGATATCCAAAAAAGGCAGTTTTAGAACAGAACTTAGAAGCCAGGGGGTCACAGAAAGGCTGGGCTGTGTCAGTCTGGGTGATGGCGGAGTCTGTGGGGCTGGTTTCTGGACACTTGGAATCTCTCTTGACCTACTGCACTTTGGGTCCCCCCGCCCCCCGCTTTTAATTTTATGTATATGAGTGTTATGCCTGCATGTAAGTACACCCATGCCATGCCCACAGAGGACCGAAGAGGGCGCCAGATTCCCTGGAACTGGAGTTACATTGTGGACAGTTGTTAGCCACTACATGGGTGCTGGGATGTGAACCCGGGTCTTCTGCAAGAACAGCCAGTGCTCTCAACTGCTAAACCATCTCTCCAGCCCCATGGGTCCCTCATCTCATTACAGAAAAATACACTAAGGTGGAGAGGAGACATGTAAAGATTCCCTGCAACGGGAGTGGGGAGATGACACTGTGAGTAAAGTGCTTGCTGCACGAACCTAAGTTCGAATCCTCAGCACCTGCATAAAAGCCAGGTGTGGTGAGGTGTGCCTGTAACCTGTAACCTGGTGCTTGCTGCTAGCCAGTCTAGTTACGAAAGCAAGCACCAGATCAAGTGAGAGATCCTGTCTCAAAAAGTAAGATGGAGGGGCTGCAGCAATGTCTCAGTGGTTAAGAGCACTTGCTTCTTTTCCAGAGGACCCAAGTTTGGCATTACTCATATTGAGCAACTTATGACTGCCTGTAACTCCAGCTCCAGGGGATCTGATGCCGCCCTCTTCTGTTCTTCTCAGGCTCTGCACACACATGGTACACACACACACACACACACACACACACACACACACAAATACAAAAATAAAATAAATATTAGAAAAAAAAGGTGGAGAGTGATAGAAGATACCTGACATTGACTCACTGACCTCTGGCCCCACCATGGGCATGGATGGGCAACCACACCTGCACACACCTGCACACATGCATGCACAAAGATTCTTTGCTTTGGGGGCCTGGAGAGATAGCTCAGTGGTTAAGAGCACTGACTGCTCTTCCAGAGGACCTGGGTTTAGTTCCCAGCACTCACATGGTCCATAACTCCAGTTCCAGGGGACCCGATGCCCTCTTCTGACCTCTGTGGGCATTGCACACATGGGTGCACTTACATATATGCAGGCAAGGCACTCATACACATAAAGTAAAAATAAATCAAGAAATTATTTTAGAATATTTTATTGTTTTTTTGTTTTGTGTGTATCTGTGCATTGCCTGCATGTACATAAGTGCTCCCATGTCATGAAATGCCCCCCAAAATCAGAAGAGAGTGTTGGAGTCCCCTGGAACTGGACTGGAGTTACAAACAGTTGTTAGCTGCCATGTGGGTGCTGGGAATGTAATGTGGGTCCTCTCCAAGAGCAGCCAGTGCTCTTACCTGCTGAGCTATCTCTCCAGTCCAAAAAAACTATTTTTAAAAAGATTCTTTGCTTTGTTTGAGACCATTAGATCTCACACATGACTAAGATTCAGGAGGTTGTTCTGCTAGTGAGCATCTGTCTGCCCGCAACAGCGGGGACAATTTTCAAACACTAACTGTACTAAAGAGACTCCTCTGAAGAGGAAAGACCGATCCAGGACGATCTGGTTTACACGCCTTATAGCACAATTCCATGCCAGATGCCTGATCTACCTACAGCATGTGGAAGCGCCTTTCATCTACCATGAGCTTTGTCTTTTGTCCCTGACCACAGGCTTGGAGAAAATAGAGTATTCAATGTTTTCTATTAACTCGCTTTCTCTTTTCAGAGGCATTTTGTAGGGGAAGAACAAGAAAACTCTTTCTACAAACAATTATCCTCTTGGGCAGTCTGTCCCCTCTGGGTATATCAGAACAGGTTCCTGCCCACCTCAAAACTAACAAATAGCAAGTGACCAGAGCAGTGTGGAATGGGTGGGCTGGGAAAGAATTCACGGATTGTTTTTTTTTTTAGGTCTTTTTGAGACAAAGTCTCCCTGTAGCCCCAGATGGCCTGGAACTCACTATGTAGACCAGGCTGGCCTTGAACTCACAGAGATCCACCTGCCTCTGACTCCTGAATGCTGGGATTAAAGGCATCTGCCACCATGCCCGGCATATTTTTGTTTTTTGAAGCAGGGTCTCATGTAGTCCAGACTGACTTTGAACTTGCTATATAGCCAAGGCTGGCTTTGACTCCTGATCCTCTCAAGTGCCAGGATTACCAGCATGTATCCATCACCACACCAAAACTTCCTTCCCTTCTCCATTCCCATCTGTCTCTCTTTTCAGACAAGGTCTTAGTGTAGCTCAGGCTGGCTTTGACTTGTAACCCTCCTGCCTCAGCCTCTCAAGGGATGGGTTACAGATGTGCATCACCATGCCTGGGTGAATGCAGGGGTTTAAGACATCTTCATTCTGCTCTGTCTCCCTGGGGTGGAGCGAGGGTGGCTGAGGACCAGGGAATGGGAATTCCACGTTTTAGTCCTTCCATTTCAGCTCCATCCGACCACGCACAGACGGCGTCCGCTGTCTTTGCCCTGACAGGCCGTTTGTCTCTGGCAGGCCTTCCTTGCACAGTCACAGAGCAGGCTCCAGTTTGCTTTTCCTTGAGCCAAGCAACTCTGGGTAAACCTATGACTCTTAGAATCTAGAAGCAAGAATTTCCAAGAAGAGTAAAGATTTCTAGTAGTGATGCCCTGAATCCAGAAACTGTAGGCTTCCTTCTCTCCATGTTCCTGTCTATCCTTCCTTCCTTCTTTCCTTCCTTCCCTCCCTTCCTGGTCTAAATTCAGAGCTCCACATGCCTCTACCTCCCAAGAGCTGGGATTAAAGGTGTATGTCACCACATCCAGTATTTATTTGTTTTAGAATATTTTATTATTATTTTATTTTTTTATGTGTATGAGTGTATTGCATGCACGTAAGTGCACCCGTGTCGTGCAATACCCACAGAGGCCAGAAGAGGGCGTCGGATCCCCTGCTTACTATGTAGCCCAAGCTGACACGGAACTCACAGCAGTCCTGCCTCAGTCTCCTGTGTGCTGAGATGACACACAAGGCCACACCTGGCTTCTCCCCAGTTTGATTCTGGGGGTGTATGTGTGACAGACAGAAAGACAATACCAGCCAACCTGAGGCGGTTAACACTGAGTTAACTACAACTATAGTTAACTATAGTTCTATAGGTGCTATAGCTCATAGATAACGCCACACACATGCATATTTGAGAGAATGCGGTAGCAAGGTATATTCAAGAAATGCTTCCAGGGCTGGAGAGGTGGCTCAGTGGTTAAGAGCACTGGCTGCTCTTGCAGAAGACCTGGGTTCGAATCCCAGCATCCACATAGTGGCTAACCACCATAACTTGAGTTCTAAGGAATCTGACATCCTCTTCTGACCTCCATGGGCATTGCACACACAGCTGCAGAAGAATAACGTTTTTTAAAAAATCAAAAAAAGAAATGGTTTCAGTTTCCAGGAGGTTAATTAAGATCAGTTAGTAATTATTACACTGCTGGAAGACATCAGTGAGAACTGACACAAGCCCAGCACATTTACAGTGCTTTATACTATAAACTGTAGGTCCCTTGTTAGTATTGAATACACAAGTTCACTTTACATAGGTGGTCTCACTCCTGTATGAACCCGTATTTTCTTTTTAAAAAATACTTTATTTTGCTGGGCATGGTGGCACACGCCTTTAATCCCAGCACTCGGGAGGCAGAGGCAGGCGGATCTCTGTGAGTTCAAGGCCAGCCTGGTCTACATAGTGAGTTCCAGGCCAGCTGGGGCTACAGGGAGACCCTGTCTCAAAAAGAACAACAAAAAATTTTATTTTTTAATTTATGTATATGAGTGTATCGTCTGCTTGTATGTAAGTGCACCCATGTAGTGCAGTGCCCATGGAGGTCAGAAGAAGGTGTTGGATCCCCTGGAATTGCAGTTACAGATGGTTGTTAGCTGCCATGTGGGTACTGGGAATTGAACCTGGGTCCTCTGCAAGAGCAGCCAGTGCTCTTAACTGCTGAGCCATCTCTTCAGCCTGTGAACCTTAAGCAAAACCATGTATGTCAAACTCTAAAGGTTTCCCGCAGTTCTTAATGGAACTGGGACTTGGCGGTCTCAACTCCTTAAGCAGACCGTAGCCTCCAGTTTGGCTTTTAAAACACATCTCACAATAGAACTTTTAATGACCATGACATTTGTTTTGTGGTCTTTATTATAAATTACAATTATTTCACATTGTCATTCATTGGCTTAAGAACACCGAAGAAATACTTTGTGTAGCCACAGAATTATAGATTGAATTCTGCTGGACAGTGGTTATAAATGTTGCAGGAATTCAGATGGGTTTATTTCAACTGGCAATTTATAGAAGTTCACAAAGTGATTTCTGAGCTAGGCATATGGCTCACCAATGTGACTCAGAGATTCAAAGATAGGAGGACCTAACCCTAACACACAGAACTCTGTACCTACAATTGGCCATTTTATGATGTATTACATAATGAAACCTTTAGTAAGACTCCAAAATTAGTGGGAAGTGGGCACTATATGGTGGGAAGGCCACGTATTTAATGTAGTGCCTGAACCCTGAGTGCCCTACAAAGTTTTTTGAGGGAGACTTTTTGATACCCATGCTACAAGAAACTAGAAAGTTGGAATACAAGCATTCGACATGAATCTGTTCAAAGACAGAAATTTAATTTCAGGTTCACTATTGGTATCGATGAGGAAAATGTACTGAATGCATAGTATCAACCAGGTATCTCCCCGCCCTGAGATTTCTAATTCTTACAAAATCTCTGTACAAAGTTATTATTATTTTTATTTTATGTGTATGAGTGTATCGTTTGCATGTATGTAAGTGCACCAGTGTCCCGCAATGCCTATGGAGGTCAGAAGAGGTCATTGGATCCCCTAGAACTGGAATTATGGATGGTTGTTAGCTGCCATATGGGTGCTGGGAATTGAACCCAGGTCCTCTGAAAGAGTAGCCAGTGCTCTTAACCAGTGAGCCAGCTCTCCAGCCCCTAAAAATTTCTTTTTTAAACAGAGGAGGAAACTGGCTAGAGAAGTAATTTTCGTAGGCTTACATAGGTGACAAAGAAGCTGAGCTGCGGGGCTAGGGAGATGGTTCAGTTGGTTAAGTGTTTGCTTTGTAAGCATGAAGAGCTGAGTTCAATCCCCAGAAACCACTAAAAAAGCTGGGCATGGCATACCTGTAATGCCAGTGCTGGAAAGGGGGAGATAGGTGGATCCCTGGGGCTAGACAGTCAGCCTAGCCCAATTTGTGAGCTCCAGTTCCCAGGGAAGCCCTGTCTCAAAAAAACAAGGTGGGGGATTCTAAATTTGATTAAGAACTGCTATATGAAATTATAAAAGCTCAACATATATACACATATATACACATATACATATATATATATATTTTTTTTTTTCCAAAGAAACAAGGTGGATAGCACCTAAGGAACGCCTGAGGTAGACCTCTGGCCTCTACACAAATGTGCATACCCACATCAACACACATCTACACCCACAATCCCACCCCCACCACACACATGCTGAACTCAGATTCAAAACCTAGCCCGTCTGGTTCCAGCATCTCAGTCTCCTTTACTCCTGGGTCCTGTACTAATATCCTCAGGCACAGACTGGTCCACCTGCAACTGGCTTGGAGGTCCAAAATCTACCCAGCTGCCTGTGTCAAGGAAGATGGCTGTTTCTCCAGCTCCTTGGCAGTGAATCACCCAGGTACACTGTGGCTTACATGGTGAGGTTGCTCTTGCCCTTTGCCCTGGGAGACTTGATCTTTTCTAGAGTCAGCTGATTGCCTCACCTGGATTCTTTTTTAAAAAAAATTTTATTACTATTACTATTATATGTGTAAGAGTGTATTGCCTGCATGTATGTAAGTGCACCTATGGCATGCAGTACTCGTGGAGGTCAGAAGAGGGCATTGAATCCCCTAGAACTGGAGTTACTGATGGTTGTTAGCCGCCATGTGGGTGCTGGGAATCAAAACTGGGTCTTCTGCAAGAGTAGTCCATGCTCTTAACTGCTGAGACACTGCTCCAGCCCCTTGTCTGGATTCCTCAATGGTACTGAATTTTGCTCAAAGCCAGCCCCACATTTGCCCTTAATGGGGGAGATTAGCATGGGCAGGGATGGGGCACAGAGATGTGGACAGCATACTTTTCTATCTCCTCAACAGAACCAGCCTTGGCCTCCTTCTGCCTCTAAGGGAGGAAGAGGCAGTGATGGCTCAGACTAGAACTCATACCACTCCTGCTGGGTGAGTAACTGGGCTGTGCCCAGTTCTTGATCATCCATAGACCAACCATTCCTTACCTACCCTGTAAATCCTCAACTTGTCCCTGAGCTACCTGAGTGTGTGCTTCCATTGGGGGGGGGATGCTCACCTGCCCTTTATTTTTTATTTTAAATTGTGTTTGTGCATATATATGTGTATGGGTGTGTGTGTAGGAGCACACATACTAAGGCATATGTGTGGAGGCCAGAGGAAAACTTTCAGGAGATGGTTCTTTCCTTCCATCATGTGAGTCCTGGGGACTGGAACTCAGGTCACCAGGCTTGGCAATAAATGTCTTTACTAACTTGTGGTGTCATCCTGCAAGCCCTTCATCTGCCTTTTAACAAAACACTGATGATACATATCAGGACAGTTGTCCCAGCTGTGATGGGCGGGGACAAAGGACCATGTTCTAGAGCTGGGCTTTCTCCACCCTTCCCTGTCATCTGTTTTTCGGCAAGCTGTGCTCAGAAGGATGCCTGTGTGCACAGTGCCCAAGAGAGCTCTGGGAGATATGGCATGGGCCTTAAAGGAAGATCATCTGTCTTTATGGTTCTGAGTCACCTTTCCACATAAGCCTTATGCTCTCCCTAAATTTACAAGGGACAGCACTGTGGATGTTCCTGACTCAGTGAGTGTGGTGTCTTTGATAACTTTCTTTCTTATCTGATGCTACATGCTAGCATGGCCCTTTCTACCCACCTGTAACATAGCACTGGCCAAGATGGCACTTCTGCCTTTTTTGGTAATATCTCCCTCGCAGCATTCCTCTGGTCAGTATCCCTTGATCACCCTCCAGAGTTCATAGAGGTAAATGCTGCTATGAACTAGTGACCCCCCTCTCCGAAAAAAGTCCACTCATTCATTGGATGAATATTTACTGAGTCTCATTAACTGCATCCAGCAGTGTCCTAGCCCTTGGTTACACCCAAGCCAGAGAAACCGTTTTATCTTAGGAGACTGAATCATTTGATTTTTTCCCTCAGGTGTATGTTGTGTATATGTGTGTATTCCTGTTCCCATGTGTATGGGTACACTGTGTGTATGGTACAGTTTTGTGTTTATGCATGTGGAGGCCTGAGGCTGATGGGAGTCTTTTTTTTTTTTTTATCTTTTCAAGACAGCGTCTCCCTGTAGCCTGAACTCATCATATAGACCAGGCTGGCCTTGAACTCACAGAGATCTGCCTTCCTCTGCCTCCCGAGGGCTGAGACTAAAGGTGTGCGCCACCACGCCTGGCTGATGTTGGGAGTCTTTATCGCTCTCCACTTTATTCACTAAGGCAGGATCTCTCAACTGAATCCTGAGCTCAGAGACATGATCAGTCTGCTAAGTTTGCTCTGGGGATCCCGTCTCTGTCTTTTGAGTGCTGGAATTATGGGTAGGCTGCCATGTCCACCTGGCATTTACATGGCTTCTGGGGATACAAACTCCAGGCCTCCTGTTTGTGCCACAAGCTCTTTAACCACTGAGCCATCTCCCCAGTCCCATAGCATCTGATCTTGCCTTCTCCCAAAACATGGCACTGACATAGCTTAGAACATTCCAGAACCAAAACGGACTTTCCAAATCATTGAAATCATCTGTCCCATTTTTATAGTTCACCAGGGAGGGAGGTCCTCGCCTAGGGCCAGCATTCTCTGTGCTTCCTTGCTGACCATCTATTGTGCTCATCTGGAAAGCAATGCTGTATGACCCGGGCAAACCTCCGCTCTGGGCCACAGGTTTCTGCCTGTGAAGTCGAGAGTCCTTTTGGCTGTATCTAAGACTTTCTGGCTCTTACATCATATTGCTTTCAAACACTCTTGGGATTCACAGTAGTCTTGGTCCATGTGATACGTCATCCCAACAACTAGAATATGCTGTCTGGGTGGTGGCAGGAGAAGGCAGCAGCCGTTTAATATCCTCACTGATTATATCAATACATATTGTTTACAATTTGGGAGCAATTGCTGTTAGTTGACTGTACCACAGGAGTCCATGCTTGCTTGTTCTTTTAATTTCTAAAATATTTATCTATATTTTTTAAAGACTTATTTTAAGTTGTGTGTGACCTGGAACTCACTACGTAGACTAGGCTGCCCTTGACCTCACAGAGATCTATTTGCTTCTGCCTCCTGAGTGCATGGTGCACATGCCCTTAACCTCAGCTGTGTATGAGTATTTTGTTTGCATGTGTGTTGAGTGCACCGTGTGGGTACAACATCTGCAGAGGCCAGAAGAGGGCGCTGGATCCCCTGGAACTGGAGTTACAGACTGTTGTTAGCCACCATGAGGATGCTGGAAACCAAACCTGGGTCCTCTGCAAGAGCAACCAGTGCTCTTAACCACTGAGCCATCTCTCCAGCTCCCCTACCTCCACCTTAGACCTTGAATAGGTCTATAATATGCAAATCTATAATATGCAGGTAACTGGACTATCTGCTAATAAGAGACATGAATGCCAGGGATGAATGGTGGTGTAAGGACTGGAATCATCCCCACACTGCTCACCAGTTTCCCATGACTAAAGAAGAGTTCCTGGCCATACTTCGAGGTTAAAGTGCCTCTTACTCATGATTAAAAGGGAGACTGCTGCAAAATCCCCGGGTGCCTTCATCTTTCTGAGATACGTTATGTTCTCAGGCCAGTAATGTCTGTGACATGGAGGGCTCAGAAAGGAATATTTCTAGGGGTAAGGATACTTTCTTATAAATCAACCAAGTCAAGACTGGAATCGCCCTGGTGTCACTCCTGGCTGTAACTTGCCTCCAAACACAAACCAATTACATCACTCACAAAGTGAAGGGTTACAGGCCCAATCTGCAAACACCTTCCTCCTACCTATACCAGGAGTCAAACCCTGAGTCTCTCAAGAAAACAGGGAGTTCCATCACCCTTCACAGCAACTGTCTGGTAGAGCCCAAACAGATACCAGCCACGTGGAGTCAGGCAGCAGAGGAAACAACTTAGAAGCATCACTCACCATGCAGTCGTCAATGGTTTCCGCCAGGCGTGTCCGGTGCTTCCGCCCTAACCGCATAATCTTCTTCCAGGTATAGTAGTACTCCACACACTGAGCCACTGTCTTAGACTTCACCTGTGAAGAAAGTGCACTCAAGATTAGCAGCAGCGCTGGGCAAACTGCGCCATGTTAAGTTCTGTATGCAGTAATCAGTAGGTTTCTATGCTCAGTGAGTGAATGCAGAGGAAAGACTCCTTCCCACCCCTTCCTCAGTGCTCATCTCTGTAACACAAAGAGCTTCTCCTAGTCATTAAAACATGTATAACATTTCTTCATGTGTATTTGTGGGTGTGTGTGAGGTCAGAGGACAACTTGCAGGAGTCAGTTCTCTCTATCACGTGGGTCCCAGAGACTGAACTTAGGTCTTCAGGCTTAATAACAAGCACCTTTATCTGCTGGGCCACCTAGCTGGCCCCCTGATATTCATTTCTTAGGTCTCATTCTAGAATTTTAAAAAAAAATTATTTTATGTGCAGGAGTGTTTTACCTGTATGTATGTATGTATGTGTACCATGTGCATGCAATGCCCATAAAGGCCAGAAGATGGTGCCAGATCTCCTGGAACTGGAGTTGTAGATGGTTGTTAACTGCCACGTGGGTGCTGAGAACAAAACCTGGGTCCTCCGAAAGAGCAGCCAGAACTCTTAACTGCTACGCTCTCTCTCCAGCCCCCATTCCAGAATTTCTTTATGTGGATACCAACAAGCACAGATCCATATTCCTCCCTGGACCATTCTTCCTCACGAGAGGCAGCAAGCACACTATTAATACAGTTTTGTATCTTGATGTCTTCCACTACATAGCTTAGAGATCTATGGAGATCAGTCTGTAGAGGTCTTAAATAGCTGCTCAGCTATTTCAATGTGCTCAGCTCTGTCTTGTTGACTTTCAAAATGTACCTATGCTGGGTGTGGTGGCACACACCTGTAATCCTGGCACTCAGGAGGCAGAGGCAGGAGGATCTCCAGTGAGTTTGAGGCCAGTCTGGTCTACATAGCAAATTCCAGGCTAGCCAATGATACAGAGTAAAACCCTGTCTCAAACAGGGGGCTGGAGAGATGGCTCAGTGGTTAAGAGCACCGACTGCTCTTGCAGAGGACCCGGGTTCGATTCCCAGCACACACATGGCAGCTATGAACCATCCTTAACTCCAGTTCTAGGGGAATCCAAAGCCCTCTTCTGACCTCCGAGGCACTGTACGACACAGGTGCAGTCACATACATGCAGGCAATACACTCGTACACATAAAATAAAAATAATAAATAAAATATAAAAACCAACCAACCAACCAAACCAAACAACACCCCTCCCCCAAAAAAACTAACAACAAAAATCTTATTCATGAGCTTGGCATGGAAGATCAGAAGTTGGTCAGATTCAGTTACATAGGGAGTTCTAGGCTAGCCTGGGCCACATGAACCCTGTCTCAAAACCAAATCAAACCAACCATAGTTATGAACAAGTCCTTAGTAACAGACTAGGACTATACGGCATTAGGTTAGGCTGACAGAGTTTAGTTTGTACATGAAACAAGTCTTTCCCTGTTTACCCCCAAAGAGGCAAAGGTATCTCTTAGTCAAGAAGCTTCAAGCTGGGAGTGGTGGCCTATGCTTGTAATCCTCGCACCACAGAAGGTAGAGGCAGGAGGATCAGAAGTTCAAGCTCATCCTTAACCACATACTGACTTGGAGGCCAGCCTGAGATACACGAGACCCTTTCTCAAAAAAACAAGGAAGGGGCCAGTATGATGGTTCAGTGGATAAAGGAGCTTGAGCCAAGCCTGACGACCTGAGTTTGATCTCTGGGATCCACATGGTGGAAGGAGAGAACCCATTCCTTTAAGTTATACTCTAATCCTACACGTAAGTAAATAACGTAATAATAATACAGGAAAGTGCTTGGGAAAGAGCTTCAGATTTAGGTTTCAGAACATCTAAATAGACCTTTCTTACTTTTTTTTTAATGTGTACGAGTATTGTGCCTGCATGTAGGTAAGTGCACCCATGTTGTGCCATGCCCAAGGAAGACAGATGGTGTTGGTTCCCCTGTAACTGGAGTTACAGACGGTTGTTAGACACCATGTGGGTTCTGGGATTCAAACCTGGGTCCTCTGCAAGAGCAGCCAGTGCTCTTACCCACTGAGCCATCTCTTCAGCCCTTTAAATAGGTCTTCTTGGCTGAACATTCTTAATCTGAAAAAACTGAACTGCTCCAAAATGTTTGGAACATTTTGGATTTGGGGTTAGGGATGCTCAATGTGTATCTGCATTTTGGGGTGAATTACTTTTCAGCATTACTTTGCTCAGTTCCCAGATCTCCATGCTCAGGTGGCGTTCAATCGTGGGTTTTCTGGAGGCAGATATAAGGGTGGCCCAACCCTCAAGGGTGGAATACGGCCACCTATAATGAGATGAGGACATCACAAGAGGTAATGCCTTCTTCAATATCCACCTGACATCTGGTATTACTCCACTGGGATCATACCCAGGGAGTGAGAATACAGTCCTAGAGAGTCCTTGGTTAAAAATCTGCACTGGCTCATTCACCCTCCCATCTCCCCCGATGTTCTCTCCTCTGAGTTTGGGTCCTGCCCCATTCCTTGTCTTGGGGCCCCAGAAACCTGGGGAACCATACTGCTTCCTGATCCTTTTCATCCAGACCAGCCTAGTGCCTTCTCTGGGCCCCAGGAGCACTGCTTCTGGGCCTGGCCCTGCCCTCACCTCCTTCTGCTTCCCTGGGCCTGCACCACCCTCCAGCCTCTTTCTGGGACACAGGGGCTGACCTTTCTTCTTCCTGAACCTTTGCATCCAGACCAACCCAGCTCCTCAGTGCAGCCCCAGGAGTCCTTGGGGCCTCTTACCAGCCCATCTGCCTTTGCATCTCTGGGTGGAACGACCGCCAGCTGCCCTAGACCATCATCTTTCCTGGGCCAGGCTCCCAGGCCAGTCCAACCCCCAAATTCCTGAAGCCAAAATCGTTCCTGGAGGGATCCGGACCTTAGGAGAAAGCCTAAGAGCATCTGACCCTCACCTGAATTGGGCCTCTGTGGGAACTCCTGAAGACAAAAGCAATCTGGGCACTCCAATATAAAATCAAAAGAGAGAACTGGAAGCTTAGATGAACCATCTTTCCATGCCCCCAAAGTAAACCACAAAGGCACACAGTGTTCACAAAAAGAAGCAGACCTAAACTTGAAGACTTGAGTCTCACACAAGAATCAGAAGCTATAAAAGAAATCAACATGTCAAAATCACAGAGAAAAAATAATAACATGAAAAACCAAAATAACATATCCCCACCAAATACCAGTAATCCTCTAGAGGAGCACAATGAGAATCCTCCAGAGATAATGCAGGACATGGAACTCAAAAGAACAATTATAAACATGATAAAAGAATTCAGTGAATTTAAAGAACACATGTGTTGGATAGCTTTAGAGTCAACTTAACACACCTGGGTTGAGGGAGCCTCAATCGTGGAATTGCCTCTATTGGACTGGCCTGTGGCCATGTCTGAAGGGCATCTTCTTGATGAGTGATGTGGGAGGGCCCAGCCCACTGTGGATGGTGCCACCCCTGGGCAGTGGGCCTGTGTAGCATAAGAAAGCAGGCTGAGCAGGTGCCAAGGGAGCAAGCCAGTAAGCAGCATTCCTCCATGGCCTGTACTCCAGCTCCTGCTTCCAGGTTCCTGCCCTGAGTTCCTACCTTGGGCTCCCTGATGAACTACAACCTGGGAGATGTAAGATGAATAAACCCTTTCCTCACCAAGTTGGTAGTGGTCAGAGTGTTTTGTCACAGCAATGAAGAAACAAACTAGGACAACACACAATAAAAGAAATCAAAGAACTGAAGGAACATAGGGATAAACTTCTGAATGAATTCAGAAAAGAGTTAGAAATATTGAAGAATACTAAGGCTGAAATGAAGAAAGAAGTGAAACACTCCATAAGCCAATTAGAAACGACAGGAGAAAGACTCACCAATAGGATGAATGAAATGGAAAACAGAGTATCAAGATTGGAAGATAAAGTGGATGAACTGGAAAAATTTAAGAAATCACAAGAATGGAATATGCAGGAATTGAGTGATACCATAAAAAGACCAAACTTGCGAATCATAGGCATACAAGAAGGAGAAGAATCCCAAGACAATGGCATGGACCAGACCTTCAACAGAATTGGGAAGAAAATTTCCCAAACTTAAAGAAAGACATGCCCATACAAATACAAGAAGCACACAGAACACCAAACAGACAGGACCAGAAAAGAAACTCTCCATGGCACATAATAGTAAAAACACTATATGTACAAAATAAAGAGACAATAATGAAAGCTACAAAAGAGAAAAAAACAAGTCACATATGAAGGAAAACCCATTAGGATTACAGCTGACCTTTCAGTGCAAACTATGAAAACTGAAGATTGT